CACTACTCTTCATTCTACGGAGCCAAGTTAAATGACTTCGTCTTTCTTTTCCAGCCAGTCCCAGCTTTGGGAAACGATACACAGTATATAAGCCTCTAGGCCGACGTGTTTTAAATGTGAAAGAGGTACTGAAGCCGGAGTTTTAAATTGTAAGTATCTATTGTATTATCATCTTGGCTATGAACAAATAAATACTGCTGGGTTTTGACGTACATAAGCAATCCTTCGGACTAAAGATTATTAAACACGAAGTTGTTGGTTCCAGACCTGGACGTGGATACGTGGACCAAATATTTTCCTTTCATCAGGTTTCGGAATATAGACATACTTTCCAGCTCTAGTTGTATTACTTGACCTTAAAGCATTATTTGACTCAGTTGATCGAGGGATTCTATGACTGTCTGTCATTAAAAGGGTTACCAGTCAAGTACATCAACCTTGTAAAAACTACTCAAATCCTGAATTAGTGATAGAGAGTAAGGTAGTTGAGCACGTCGATCGACTCGCTCACCTTGGAAGTTTCATAAACCTTGGTTGGTTGGTGTATGACTCAACTTTAAAATAAAGTTAGTAAAGTCGGTTGGCTTTCATAAAACCGTGTCACTTTTGGCGTAGGAGAGATGCTCATCTCTCAGTCTATGTAATCATTGACAAGTTGACAACCATGTAAGTAGGTGTAAACTATCTAGTTGGGACTGACGTGATTATCGTAACCATTGGTTGGGGACTTTAAATGATATGGTGCAGGTTCATTCACTGTTTCTTCCCTTAAAACCTGAGTCCCGAAACCTTATACTTTTTTTTATCTTTCTCTATGTTTAATATTTTTTACTATTGCTACTACTTCTTTTAGAGATGCTTTTACTATTCCTGCTACTCTATGTTATTGTGGTATGACAGCCTAAACGGTTGCGCGTATGTAACAGGTTCTTTGTTGCATATAACTGACTGAAAAAACTAATGATATAGCAAGTCTTTTGGATCCATTGAGTAATAATTTAAGGATTTTTGGGGTAAGTTTCTTTCCAAACGCTAATTATTACTTCAGGACTCGTCCGTTCATAGGGATTGAAATAGTAGATTGTGTTATCCACATCACTTATTTTGGAGGCCTCATCAACCCTGGTGGGTTGATGTCTGGTGACATTTTGAGATAAATAAAATGCGCACTTGTTTTCCAGTTTTCTCCACCTACGTTACAAGTAAAGTTCCCTCGTGTTTATCCAGTTCAGAGCATACCGCACAGCGTCTAACCTGTACTAATTTATGGGAGTGAAATATGGACAATAAAAGTTGAGGGTATGTATAGATTACTAGTATTTGAGGCAAATATAATAAGTTGATTGATAAAGCAGTAAACTTTGATGATCTGAGGCCATGTCTACCGAGCTGTGTAGTAAAATGTGGAATACCTGTTTGGGGCTTCCGCGGTACTCACAATCTACGGTTGGGTCATTCCCATGGTTTATTTTAAAACTGGTCTCAGTGACGTAGTTGGGTCCTTTCTTAAGCTTAACACCATTCCATACTTTTGTTGCACTATCTCATTCTTCCTATTTAAGTTATATTTTGTACTTCACTTTCCAATGCAGTCGATATGATCATTTAGTCTTTTGTTTATTTTTTGGTGGTTCTCTTTCTTATTATGCTGATACATAATCTTGCAACAGGAACCAATACATATCCATATGAAGTCCTACATAATTGGTAATTGACAGACTATTTTACCGTTTTCTGCTTAATATTATATCTTAATTATAATTAAGTTTCCTATGAAAATAGTGCAAACGTCTTAGTAACTTGTTTTTTGAATCTGTATTTTACGTTGTAATACACCTGTTCAGGTTGTAATATTCCAGTTGGTAGAGAATTCAAGTTCTGGCCCCTCACTACCTTGTGTGAATTGTTTCTCCAAATCTCGCTTTTCATTCGCTGATTATACGGCGTCACCCATGATAGTCAATTACCATAAGCTGTGTAGAATGAGTCAATTACATCATTGAATAGAATATTTATCGACTTCATTTTTTGTAATATAGTTCCCCAGCTATTCATAATAAAGGATTAAATAGCTAGTATTACACATTGAGGTAACTAATTTTTGCAATTATCCTAACAACTTGTTTGCAAATTGAAATGTTTTCACTCAACAAATATTCTATGTCAAATCTTTTAATAATCAACCTTTGTTTGTATCTTCTACTAGCTACAAATGCTTGTTTAACAACTGCTGAAATGTATAGTCAATACATTTTTTAAGTTACATTTCTCAGGTGTTAAATACTGAAGTACAACAAATTGATGACTTAAGATTAACTCATAAATTTAAATCTATTTCTTTAATGATTTATAATTTCATCATGCAAACCAGACTTCATAGTTTAGCAGTTATACTAAGTAATGAATTAGAGTTTAGTCCTACGGTATGTTTCCAAATACTCTGAAAGTTCTAATATAAGCGGGGTTCGCATTCTATTTTAGATAAGAATACAAAGCATTCGTTGAATATGACTTAAGAGGGACCAATATAACCATTTTTAAAAGAACAATTAAACTGATAGATGCGTTATTCGATGATCTATGAAAGATAAATTGCAGTTTTCAGCCAATATCAATGTGTACCTGCTAGTGTTCTTGGTCTTGTCGTTATGGTTATATTAGGCACATAAAACGTGCTCTTTCCTCAAGTGAGATTTATCTAATACAGCTTTATGATTTGACGGTATTTGAAAAAAATCATGCTTCTTAACTGATGTCAATCCAAAAAGTCGTAAAATTTTCAGTTGTTAGAGATATTTGTTTAAATTGCTTCGGATAATGGAGGTTACAACTGTGTATGGAGAATAAGACGTTGAGTATAGTCATATGAACTTATATCGATAAGTATTTTCTTGATATTAAGCTTATTTTATCAATCAAAAGGAAATGAGGTTCATCTAAAGTCATTGTTAGCCTAATCTGATAAACACCCAGTCTACAGTATAGAACTACAAGCTGTTCGTTAAAACCTCTTCACTCCATTCATTATTATCTCACTATATTCTTTAAAAAAGAGTGATTATTTTATTTATAGTTATGATTTAGTAAAGCTATTTTATATAGTCTCACTGTAGTTAATATTTTATCAAACAACAAAATATCCTACGAGTCCATGATCGAAAGAAGCGATAAATTAACTATTGCGAGAACAGCCGCTACTTTCTCATTGTACAGGTTATGCGATCATTTCGTTTAGTGTGATAACTGATGTCCAAAAAAAACCGGACGGTAAATTAGGTTTAGAGGTACATCTCTCAGAACCTTTGACTGGATTTTGTAAATGATGCCAAAGGGTGAATTTGAAGCTGAATGTCCTTAATCTATTACATACAGTGGTCTTGAGTGCTGTTAGAGGTATGAGGGCGGTTATCACTTCCCGGTTGCCCACACCGTGGAAGGGTTCTTCTGGAGGTACCTGAAAAGGAAATTGGATTAGAGTTGGTCATTGTGACCTGAGAGCGTGACCGCAGTGCCCAAGGGACAGCTGCTTGAGGTCGGTCACACATGTTACAGAATAGATGATATGATTAACCTGTTGCTGAGTTATGCTTATGGTTGTTTCGGAATAGGGTGAAGAAAAGGTATCGACAAAGGATTTACGTACCAGAAGAGTAGGTAAGCTGGTATATATACACATCAAATTGGTCTGTCACGGGATTCTGTCTTTCATTTTGAGGTATATAAGAGGATAACTACAGTAGGTTAAACTGATATTTACTGTATTAAACGTTCTAGATGACCCTTCATGACAAGATCATTTAACCTGATATCATACTAAAATTGTGCTAGTATTAAAATCCCACTAAGTTTATTAATTGTACTGTTTTTACTGTAAATCAACTTTTTTATTTCGAATGTATCGATAGTTATTATTGAAAATGTAATGTTTTATGCATTTATCTTATTATAATTAAGGTTTTTTGAACTTTTTTTAAATTAATGGATGGCGTATGAATATACTTGCTATTGAAAATATGATTGGTTCGATTTCTGTCTATAATAGTCATTAGGTGGTTTTTCATTAAAGTCAAGATGTTTCAATGAGTAGGTAGTTTTTTCTTTATGTTTAATATTGAGATCATTGATGTGGTACTGGTAAATTTTCAGTTCAAAATGCTGTACTCATTCTAACCAGGTTTAACTGACTGATTTGGTTTGGTACTCCCAAATGAGTGAAAATTCATACAGTTCCGTTCACTTCTACTTTGTAGCATTATTTATAATGTATGATCGCTTTGAAAAAAAGGGTCAAATAGACTAGAAGTATATATTACTGAACTATATTCAAATATGAATGATGGACATGTTTTCTCAAGATACTCGACAAATTTTTACATTTTCTTTAAAGTGATCGTGTTTTTCTTTATGCTTTTTTACTTAGTATCTTCGATTAATAAAAAAACTGCCAATATATCCTTCTTTTATGGAGTTAATGAAGGGTTTTCAATTGATAAGACTTAGTTTTTTATATTGACTTGCAACCAACCCTGGGATTCTTATATTTTGCTTTTTTCTGCCTTTAAATCCAATTGTTTTCAGTTTCGATAGTTGTGTAGTATCATTCAGATGTCTTATTGACAGTTTCTGTGTACCACTGAGACAATTTTAGTTTACTTGCCTATCCGAACTTTCATATCTTGTGCATGAATTACTTGTGTTATTGTTATCATTATGTATTCTGTACTTAGTACTATAATCATATGCCAGTTATTTCGATAAACGTCAGTAGTTTCGTTGAGCATAGGCTCTGTGGTTCGAACGTTTGACGTTCAGCCACCAAGTCACCCCATCGGATTCCACACTATTTCCTCGTGGACAGCTAGATAGTGTCACTAACTCACACGTAGAGTTTGCCTCGAAGTCAAGGATATGAAACTGTACTATGATATTCTTTATTGATTTCGGTGATCAAATGATTCCATTAACTGGATGATTCATTTTTATCACTCTTTTTATTTCAGCTCAAAGGATATATCGTTGTCCGCCGGTAGTCATGTTGTCCATTCATTAAAATCAAATGTAGATGGTAATTCATTAAAAACTGTGTTGTTAGATGAAGATTTGAATGTTCACTTACACTCAAATGTTTTACCTAATTCGACTCCAGATTGTACAACAACAACAACAACACCGTCTACTATTTTGAATAATCCATCTAGAATCAACATTTTGTCGTTAAATACATCTAGTAATCCAGTCAACTCGGTTATGGGTAATCAACATGATACTCATGCTCCTGTTTCTAATGATTCAATTAAACCACCAATGAATGTCAATATTGATGTAAGCGAATTTCAAAGTATAGTCTTTAAAAAATTCTCATCACTTTGTAACATCGTTATTCTTAAAATCAAGTGAAGGCTGGTAATAACCTTGTGTTTATGTTTCATAAATGTTCGCGCTAAATTCATTTTGTCCTGACGAAATTAGGTTTATACTTTAGAATGTAATTAATAATCAGTCATAAAAAATATGCAGGATCTGGCACTAATCTCAAATATCAGGTTTCAACACTATAACTTAATAGAGGTGCTCTCATAACGCGATCTACTATCTTGGGTCAGGTCACTTATTAGATCTTTGGATACCTTATCAAGACTTTTCGTACTTAAATAAATTTATTATTTCAAAATACCTGATATTTAGTGTTTCATCAATTGATACCAGTTAGTAATGATAACTGTCATCAAAGTAAACAGGTTTACACAGACACCAAATTGATCACAATCTTTTATATTTGTTAATAAAATTGATTAAATCGTTATTTGTAGACTTTACCGTTAAAGTACCTGCCTTACCTACTTTCGTTTTGGAAACCTTCAAAAAACAAATGTGTTGTTCCATGACGGGTCGACCAATCTTTATTCTTATTGTCAGTTGCACAGGGAAACTTTGTTATCAATATATAAACACAATATAGACTACGAGATTAAAGGTGGAAACTTATTGAAATTTCTTGTCATTACTTGTAACTTGTGGGCAATAGTAGAATTCTGCTTCACTTACTTCGGGTAGTCGGATGGTGTTATTGTCTTTGACACAAATAAAGAGTATATCAAATCTGACTACATGAATCTAGACTTGGTAAATGAGTTGCGTTAGTTAAGTTGATTTCGACTAATACCTGTTTCCCAACTGCCTTTATGAAATGTTAACTTATTTCTCTTCTAACTCCTAATGATTATGTTTATGCAGTCAACGATTTTAGAGCCTTCTTTAACTGTTTCTAAATGAATTTATCAATGTTATTAACAGATCTACGGCTGATACGATAAGTAAGAAAATGTTTTGACGATGTAAGTGTGTTAATACAATCATTAATAATCCTTTTTGCCTTAGTTAAATGAATCTCATTTCTATCGTTCATACAAAATTGCATTCTAAGTTAATTACCTACAGAGTTTACTGTTTGTTCAACACTCATTAATTCCACACCACTTTGTAATGATTATTTATCATTTCACTTTCACTAAAAATATGTTTCAAATGCATACAACGTGCTTTTAGTAATTTGTATTCTTATATATATACAGAAAACGAGGAACGTTTCAGATCCTACGCCGCCATGTTTATCATCATCAAAAATGAAAATGAATTCACCACCAACATCTACACTTGCGATTGATAGCAACGATCAGATTCTTAATAAAGTTACTGAACCAACTTCTATACCCATTTCTATACCAAATACTAGAAATTCCACATCCATTTCTCGTTCTCCTCTTCCTCATTCTTCTCCTTCTCCAATAACACCTACTTTATCGGAAAATCCCCAAATTAGACAACGTCATGTTACTACGATTACTACTGCTGCTACTACTACTACTACTACTACTACCACTATCACCAATAATAACAATATTATATCAGGTGCTACTGGTTCAAAGGTGCTCAGATCAAAATCACATCGTCTATCAGTGGTTAAAATGTAAGCCTATGAATGAATAATTTAATTGTCAAATAAATCCTACTCATAAATTACGTATCTTTCATAATTACGACATATTTAACTATAATCAGAGAGTGGTTTTGTGGATATTAAAGTAATTTAATTGTTGAATTCATGAGTCAATTGAAGTTAGATCACTATAGAAAACCTGGAAGCACTAGATGGCCGTTTCGTCCTATTATGAGCCTCCTCACTAGTGCGCATCCACGATCCTGCCTCGCGAGATTCGAACCCAGGACCTATCAGTCTAGTGGTTAAGCGTTCGGGCGCGAAACTGATAGGTTCAGGGTTCGAATCTCGCTAGGCGGGGTCGTGGATGCGCATTGCCGAGGTGTCCCATACTAGGACGAAACGGCCATCTGGTGCTTCCAGGTTTTTCGTAGTGGTCTAACTTCAATTGACCCATGAATTCAACAATTAAATTAATATTTAACTATACTTTCCGTTGAGTAAACTGGTTATGAGCAAATATCATTACAGTTAATATGTAAATTTCTCTATTGAAACGATTTATATTCAACTGTTCCCTTGTAATTTTTCAATCCACAAATAATATTTTAATTTCAAATTTCAATTTTGGCTCTAAATTTCTTTTCTCTCATATAGGGTTAGGTATTTTGTTTTCTAAGAAAACTTTTTCTAAACTAGTTTATACATTCTTTTTAGTCATATGTGATATGTAGTCATTCTACTCATATTTTGTTGACAGATTAATTACCAACTAGGTGAGTTACAAGACTTGACATAATTGGTGAATTAAAACAAAATAAAAAAATACATGTCACCTGTCTATAGCTACGTAAATTGAGTTAATGCAGTTAGTAAACTCAATGCAAATTCTTTTTCAACCGAACTTGTACTTTTGGCCAGTAACGTTTGACCCAGCCATGAATGTCGAAAAAGCCGAAGGTTTATTTCCGTTCCAACCGATAGTACAGAAAGAAAAGCATAGGTATTTATAAAACGTTTTCGACGTTCCTTCTAGAATAAGCCGGTTAGCATACAAGTTTCATAAGGCCTTATTCAATAATGCGTAAAAGGTTTAAAGTCCAAAATGGCAATTATTATGAAATTCATTCTTTGACTGATTCTAGTTGAATTTTCTGGAAGTAATCCTGATATGCGACCAGTGAAAATAAATGTGATCAGCCACTGAGCATGAACTGACAGATGCATCTTACTGACCATTTATTTTGTGATTTTTTTCTTATTATACTCTAAACTCACTCAGTGTAATCTGCTTCTAAATGTGTTGAATAAAGGATTGTCTAGTCTTTAGTTCTTTATTTTTGGCCGTTAACCGTGTATCTGGTATAAAGTTATCCAGCTTGCGCGAAGTGTATCGATCACGTGTCTAGTATCTATAGTGGCAGAACAGGGAATATTTTTATTCAATCTTTATACTAAATGCGTTTCCCGACAATATTTTAAAGCAAAAGAGGAAAAACCAACGATATTTGGTAAAAGTTTTCTCTGATTGAGGCTATTTAAGATTTTAAGGCAAATAAACTGATTAGGTGATTTTACGTCATACGATAGGTATTTCTGTGCTTAGTTCACTCAGATTTATGCTATTTATAACATTTACTCATCGTATCCAACTCTTTTTACTTGATAGAAAACTGATGGGTCTTACTTTATCTTCATGAAACTACAAGTGTCGAAAATTGCTAAATATCTACTAAGATTTTATTGATCTCCATTATGTCAAAGCTTCAAATAACTGAAGTTCAAAGTCTGAACATTACTATCACCATTGTATTCTTCTGACCAGGATAGACGTAAAGGTATTTCACTTGTAACATGAATTATATAGTGTTTATATCTTTTTAGCAACAGTCAAAAATGAAGGGCAACATGAATAAGGTTAAACAGTCGACTTCGTAACCACTCCATACCCACCATTTAAAATGTTACATTTAAGTTATTATCGTCAATATATTGATCAATAGTTTCGAAAATCTTAAGTTGCTTGCTTTTAAAATGTTGGTTCTTCATTAAACTTATGTTTCCCTAATACTTTCCATCATTTAAGGGCAATTTATATCACTAACTGACATCAGGTAGAAAACCACTGAAAATAGTGAAACGTCATAGGTTTGGATACCACAACAGTTCACATCTACGATTTTGTATTCGATCAAACTTTAAACCTTCCATTCTCATCAAACACATAATATCTTTCCACAGTTGTCTCTAAATGTAAATGTTCGGTTATTAAACTTCAGTTCATTTGTCATAATAAATAATATGTGCAACCAAGATCATTAGGTTAGTTTCTGTCTTATTTTCAATATAGTTGACTCCACATATCATGACTTCAGACAATGTCAGTTTGTGATTGTACACAATCTTCACCAAACCATCTTAATAAACTATGACTATAGTTTCTACTAACTTCTATATGTATATTCCTACTTATAACTAGTTTATCTCTGGGATACTTGTCAAAATGATGTAAATTACCTGAAGTACAATTTTTCTGTTTAGTACTATTTAGATTAACACAACTGAAATGGATATAATTAAAAAAGTTTCATAAAGAGTTCTACAACTTAATTTATTCAAATTCATTTAACCGTAAACAATTCTTGTTCTTATCTGTGCTGATTGTTTTATTATGGTAAAGGAATGACTTCACACCCTTGTTACATTGACTATGGTAAAAGATTGTTAAGGGTTTTATTTTGAGTTTTAGTCGGAATAATTGTATATATGAATATACTTACTGTTTAGACGTTTTTACTAAAATTTGTTGTAATTAGTATTTAAAATTATCGTAATTTCAATTTAAGGCAAAGTACAATTAAGTTATGTGTACTTTAGTAAACAATAAGGCTTCAGGAAAGAAAATTAGTTAATTTTATGAAAAAAAAAGAAACCGATCATCTGATTTCTTTATAAATTATATTTGCCATAAGCCTAGTCTTAATATCGTTACAATTTATATCCTATTACCAACTTTCGTCACACTATTATTATTGTTACTATTTTCATTATTATTATTATTATTATTATTATTATTATTATTTTTATTGTCACACTTGTGTTTCTCCTAATTCCTGCTTGCTATTGTCATTTCTCTTCCACAATTGTACTGTTTCAAGTTACTGTAGTATTATTTATAGTCAGCTGTTTCTTTTTCCATTTTTTTCAACTGAAAGCTTTCAACCTTAAATCGAATGTTTTAAAATTTATTTCAAAGGAAATCATTGTATAATAATAAAAATAAAGTTATGTTATTCTTGGTCTGACCTAATTGATCTACGTAATTAACTTATTAATTAAGTTTAATCACTTAATGTTAGTTTGTGAATAACCTTTAGCAAAGGTGTAATTAGCTTATAATTTTATGTCATGTCAGTTGACGAGGCTTTAAAAATTCATGGGATGAGATGGCTGGTTCATGTATTGTATATGCACAATCATCGCCTATCTCCATGTGTGGTATTGGCGAAAGCATAGGTTGAAAGCTGGGGACGGGAAAATCAAGAAGATTATTCTATAAAGGTGTTGACTATTAGTCTGAGCCATTATCATAGCTGTAGACCACGCGGTCGGGGTCCACACTATTATCACGGTGACGCTAGATGACATAGCTCAGAATCGATCGCAATAGCGTTTATATATACCTAGATCTAAGGTTTCAAAGTACTTCATTCGTTTTATTCTCAGAGTCTTCGTTTTTTTCTTGAATCACATTCTACATACCTAATCCTTTTTATTATCACTGATACTACCACTACTTTGGTATTCTGATAATTTCATTTTTCTCTGCTTATACCATGCTCTTATTTTGCTTATAGCGGATATTTTTATAAATTATGTAAACGTTTGTTTAAGACTTAGACTCCGTAGAATTTGGCTCCATCCACTATGGTCTAAATTGTCAAATATTAATTTTCTCTAGCCTTCATACCTGATGCATAACTGAAAGTTGAGTACATTAACCTAGACTTCATTATTAATCAGATACTTACACACAATCTAATAATATTAAAAGAGTATCAGTAGCTTATAACTGGACATTTGTAAACGCTATTTGAAGAGCTAGATCACATTATCCTTGGATTGTGTTCAGTATGTTGCATCCACTGCATAATATAATTAACTATCTTTCATTGGTAAACTTTTGGCATAAGCCTATAACTTAACTGTTCAATATGAATCATTCATTGAAAATCGAAATCACTTTTCGTTGGTGCTAATATTAGATACAAATCGTTACTACCGGTTGACTGAGTCCTAAGGTTGTTAGTCAACAGTGTTCTATTTCATAAAATCACCAGTCTTTGTTCTAAACAAGTACAATTTTCTTGATTGAATTTTTCGACGAAATCAATATTGATTATTCATGAATTTATCTTGTCAATATGCAGACGGACCCACCTTTTAATATTCTTACAGATCTTAAACGTATTACTATTCATTGTTTACCTGCTTCGGTTTTTATGTTTCTTTTTTTTTTTAAATGAAATCATGAACCGATTTAATTTAAACCAACATTAAAAACTGAAAGCACTGAACTGTCCTTTAATCTTAGTATGGGTTTCTTTAACAGTGTGCATCCACGATTCTGCACGCAGGATTCGGATCCAGGACCTTCATTTGTGTGCACAAATGCTTAGTCTCTCGACCACTGAACCGGGATGTACCTGTGTTAAGCCGCAACCTCACTCAATCTGCGATATCGCGCGACCGTCTTCGATTGTCGTATGTTGCTGATATCTCCAATTTCCTTCATTCTAATTTTTTATTTATTAAATCTAATTTTCTGTTCTCATCTGAATTGTGGCGTATTGAACTAATTTGTATTCTTGCTTTTTAATTCTGTTCATTTAACATCCTAGCAACCGGAGATATTTTGCTGACTAGTTTTTGGTCGGTGATAATGAAGAGATTGGAAGTTAAGCTACTACTGAAGAACGGGTTCGCTATTCGACTTCTTACTGTTTGCTTAATCAACCTCGTAGTAAAAATGTATCTCTTACGCCATCGTAATTCTATACTTATTTCGCTTGTATCTATGCTACTTGTCATTCTGATTAAATTCAATATGGTTTCCGTGCTTTTTCGCCTTATAACTATAACTTTTCTCGTATGAATATATTTTCATCACACAAATCTATATTTATTTATCTGAATGATTAAAATCCTGATGTCTGTTTATTTTTACTTTCTTAACAGATCTCGTCCATGGATGCGTTACATATTTTGTTCACTGACAGTATTTTTGATTTATTGGCTTTTTAATGGGTTTCTATTGGGTCTAACTGTTGGTTGTATACTAACATATACATTCATTACAGTTTATAATTATTTGCATAGTCGTACAAACTATTCTAATCAAATTCTCTGTCCAATATCAGGATTGCCATTAGATCACTTATGCTGTTCACTACATTATCGACAAGAACAAGAGGGCCAGTATCAAGGTTCACAATGGTGGCCAATCTATTCACCAGCTATGCCAAATTTAACTTCTGTTTTATCTAACAACGCGAACAGTACCAATAAATGTATGCAGTTAAGAAATTTGCCTAATTTCACTGTACCAAATATGCTTGAAGAAGATGTTAACAAATCAACTACCTCAGGTCCATTGGGAAATAGTTTAGGTTTTAAATATGACAATAATGGACGGCCTGTATACAAAGGATGGTTAAATGAGGTATGTTATTAGAAGAAAATAAAGACTGTCATTTTAATCAAATCATAATAAATGTCCTAGTTCTTTAATGTATAGTCACTTTAAAGCTCATGAAAAAACGTGTATACACCAGTAATAAATTTTAAATTAGATAAGTGTTCTTTTGATATGCTAGCACATTCAACTTTGAAGTGTCATCAATGAAATATTATGTTTCATAGAAAGAAAGAATAAATGAATAGTCTCTTACTTTTTAGAAAAAAATTAATCTCAGTGTATATGTGTAACTAGACCTCATCAGTATATGCTATAAAAACTCCTGTTGCTATCAATTTAACATAAGCTATAAACAATAATAATCACTTGTTACGGTAAATCTAACAATTAATTTCAATGTGATAGAGAATCATAATTTTGCTTTTCAGGGAAATAATCATTATTCAATTGGGAAAACAAATTGGCCGTGATGTGATAACTAATATTCTTAATTTGTGATTATCAGTTGTTGGTAATCTTGTTAATGATTTCGTGTAACTTCCCATCGTTCATATTCAGGACTACAACTGATCATTCTCTGTCCTCATATATTTGTGGTGGATAGATTGTTTCGATATGGTGTTATATTTAGTATGTGGTTGGCAGTGGAATTCAGAACGCGGTATTCAGCCTTTTCGGTACTCATCAGTCGGATATACTCTCATTTCAGTGTTGATCTTTATATTGACACTTAAATTCAGTACCTGTCACTTCGAACCCTTGACATAATAATATATCGAGATAACTCACTCACTAAATGATACACCTCAACTTATCTTGCTGTTGTTAGTGTTTAAACTTATCTAACCATAAACTAACTCGGCGATCAACAAATACCTGTTCATATTTTAGACTTAGATATAGATTTTAGTGTGAAAATTAATGATTCTTGGTGGAGCATGATTAGTGCTTGCAGCTTAATAACTGAAACATTAACCTTAACAACTGTATTGATTTCATGCATATAGTTTCCTTTATCAGCTTAAAGAGAGCAAAAATAAGACGTTGAGTAGTATGTCATTAGCTCATTTTATTTCGTTTGATTCTCGTCAACTGCTTAAAACCTGTAATATTTAAAAATTGCAAAACGGGTTTAAATTCTTTACAGGAAGGAGTTTTGTTGGAAGTTCGAATGATCGATACAGAGGTAGTGGCAATAGATTCTTGACTAGCCTAATAAACTCTATTCAATTAATAGCTTAATAAAAATAATGCTGCTAAACATGAACTGAGCAAGTCGATGTGATTCCTAATCTTTGAAAAAAAAATCCGTTTACTTACATTTGTACTACATACGTCAATAGACATTTGTCTACGTTGAAATGCTGGCTCTTTGATTACTGCCACTGACAGGGAAGTCCTACTCACTGCCTTCTCGCGGAGGGGGGTGTTGTTTGCGAAATCGAGAGGATGAAATGCGAACGTGCGGCGCTTTAGCTGATTTGGTTAATACGGAGGATCCGCCTAGGTGAGTTGGGAGACCTTGATTCCAAACCAATGGTGCACATGGGCTCCAGTATCCTGAGGGAACAAATGGAGCATGAACCTATTGTTGGTCACCGGCTACCATGGGACTGCATTTCCTGACGTCGCTCCACTGCCTCATGGATTAGACATCTAGGTCAAGGGCTCGGATGTGACCCCCTAGAAAAACCACCTACTTCGGTTTGGGCACCCGGGCATTATCCCAGCCCTCATACAAATCAAATGATGAAGTGCGACGCGCATATATTTGGAACCTCCTTCTACCAATATTTATATTTTTAAATAAACAAATAAAATAAGTACAAAGTATTTATCTGCTTTTTTCCTTTAACTGAAGTCCTCATTTACCTTTTATACCAAATAATATGTGTATCTTTTTTTTCTATAGATTATTCATTATGATCCTGAAACTCATCATATTGGTAAAACATTTTCCGTCTTCCTCACGCTTGATGGTACACAATTACGCCTACAACGCCCAGAACATAATATTACTCGTAGATCTCTATGGAATGATGAAATCCCATCAACTACAACTATGCGATTCAAACAACAGCATATTTATGATTTAGCTAATGCAACTGTTACACTTCTTCCATGTGGCTTAGTCGGCAAACGTCTATGGAGTAGAAAATATCCTATTTGTATCACCGTTCACACTGAAGGTAGATTCAAGGTAAATGCTAAAATGAGAGTTATGGTTATCAATAATTGGTCTTTTGTTGTAAATTGTTCTTTGTACATTTAATATTGATTACATTGCTTACGTTGCTTTATGTCAATCAATCATGTGCAACGTAAAACCTGCCATATTGGAGGATAAAATTATTTCAAGGCAAATACCAGAGTAGTAGGACTAGTAACAGCATCAGTAGCAATAGAATAAATTAGGCATAGAAAAATGGGTATAAGGAAATTTTAGGACTCAAGGGAAGATAAAGAGTGAATGCACCTGCACCATACCATTTCAAAGTCTCCGACCACTGATTATAATAATCATGTCGACCCCAACCAGATAGTCTACACCTACTCACATGGCTAAGTTCACTTGCCAATGACTTCATGGACTGGTGCCATATCTTGGTTTAACCGACCCTAGTTTTTTCCCAACCTACTTCTAGATCAGATAACATCGCTCTTCGAGGTAGCATGTGGTTTGGTATATGTAACACATGTCCCAACTACCTTAGTTGACGAAAATCTACTGCGTCATCAACCAATTTGCCATCTTCATTTAGTACCTTATGCCTAACCTTAGGATTGCTTACTCATTAGTCCAAAAATGCGCAAGTAATGCTTTGAAGTTACTGATATTCGAATACTGTTAACCCACGAACATTCTATATTCTCAATGACCATATTTGTAAATTAGAACAGACTGAACTGTTTTGTGTTGACTCGTCCTTTGGTCAGTAGATAAAATCTGGGCAAGGCTTTACAGAATATATTTTTTACGAACTTACTGTATATTATATTGTATATCAGTTTCTATGACCATATCGCTGTATTTCAAAGTATTTTGCTTTTGTTTTTTTATTTGGTAAACGATCTTACCTGTATGTAACTTTATCGTCAGTACCTGTTCGCCTTGTTTGGATCTTAAAGACTTTTTCACTTCTCAATTACTCGACTAAAGAACGTTCAAAAATCATCTTAGCCATGTTTTATCTTGAAACGCATTCCGTAACAGTTAATAGAAACACGATGATGTTAGAGAGGTCTTAATAACTACATCTCTAGACCCAAAAGTCAGGGACTTATTTATGTAATTTTTCATAGCTTTATTTATCTTATCAACAGCTGTATTGTGATTGCAGAAAGAAACCTTGTAGATTTAAATTTCAGAAATGAGACAGCTATTCCCCAAACTGTTGGGAATTTTTACTACATACCGCAAAACCCAAAAATGTTGCATCAGAAAATAACTCATAAATGAATCAGAGTAGTTTGATTTCTTCTAATGTATTCTTGTAATCCTCAATTTACTAGTTTCTTTGCCTATAAATTATGATCTTTAGGTTATTTTTATTTGACCTAGTGTTGGTAGTTTCAGGGAATAACTTCTGATCATTCTATGACTAAGAATTGCCGTGCACAAATAAGCTATATTCTTTCACTTTCCCTCATCATTAAAATGTTGTTTTCTAACTTGACATTCAAATATTCCATAACGAAATATGTATGTTATAATGAAAACAATATGAATTTGTAGGCTGTAAATCACAACGTTTCACCCGTGTTTACGTTATGATTTGTTTGTTTTAATGAACAATACATTCTGTTTTTTTCTACAGCGCAAAAATGAAAGACTTGACTCACTACCATCATCGACAAGCTTTCCAAATATCATATTATCTACTAGCTCTAATATAGCAGTGAATGAAACCTCTGACTTGTCCATGGATACATCTATTCCATCAGCTGGGGATATGGAGTTCCCTGATGATACTAGTTCTAATGTATTGCAAACTTCATGCAAATCAAATATGAGAAATTTATATTTATTCGGAAGAACATGTCGCGAAAAAGAAACATGGTACCGTAGATTGAAAGCTGCCTCATTGGGCACACCTCTTATATGGACACCTCAGATGGTAAGAAAATATTATTTTTAGGTATAGTGCAAGTTTGTAATTTTTTATAAATCTCATAACTTGAAAAAAAGTTCCGAGACCACATTTTTTGAACTACGTTTTGTGATATTTTAAGAATTTTTGCCAAACGGGAGCTTATGAATGTGATGTAAATGTGACTAAGTAATGAAATTACATTATATCACAAATTGGGATAAGCTGAAACAAATTATTCGTCTAATGTACAGTTACAAAATATAAATTGCATTATTTTCTACTGGAACTGACCAATGTGTTCTACCTTAAAATACTTGTTATTCTGTGTGTAACACATGCCCAACATAAGTATAAGTTGGTAAAATTCTAATGGCATACAATTGTAATTTCGGCTTAGTAAGTTGAACTCGTATGTCGTTTTGCTTTCTGAATTTCCTAGATAATTTTTAATATGTTAATCAATCAAATTATCTCAAATATTTTAGAACTACCAGCCCAAGCAGTTATAAAAGCCCCATTAAAACTTGATGCCTAAATTCTTTAACATTGTGAACGGATTATTTATTAGTGACTGGTAATTCATTTTCCAGGAATAACAATTTAAACTTAGACATTGATATTGTTGGATTACCAACTCAGTGGTCTAGAGATTAAGCGTCCGTGAATGTGACCGAAGGTCCTGAGTTCGATCTTGAGCGCGGGATCGTGGATGCACACTATTGAGGAGTCCCATGCTAAGACGAGAAGGTCGTCTAGTGTTTCCGAGTTTTCCATGGTGGGCTAAAATTGTTCGGTTCATAATTTAAATGAAATAACAATTTTGTTTTTCATTAACCAAATTGAACTATTAGCTGAATCATTACCCATAAGTAATTCTAAGCCTAGCAATTTTGTTTTATTCCTCCAAGGAATTCCAATCTTGACCATCTCTTTGGATATCTAGTTGGGTAACCTGATGAGAACTTATTAAAAAGAATATTCTTCATATATATATATATATATATATATATATATATATATATATATATCAAGTTCTTTTTGTAATGTGATTGGAATTTTTCAAAAAGATAGCCCCAATCGTTACTAGGCACAATTGCTTTCATTATATGTAGATTGGTCTCATTAGTCACTGCATCATCAATGCTCACATAATCACTTCCAGTTTTCGTTCTTCACATCTAATTCGTTGATAACACGACGTAACGGAGAAGCTTTATGTACTGTCAAATAAATTATTTTCGCGTTTTTTAATCCCAATTTTTATCGGTAATCTATTAAGGTATCTTTCAATTGTGAAATACATGATTATGGTGGTTTGACGGATAAATATTCTAAAGATCAAACGTAAATCTACTTTTGCGACTATTATGGTTATTACAATTTTTTCTGTAAATTATAACATGCCGACTATACTGGGCCATACAGTACTTAATCCTGTAACACCAAGTTATTCTTTTAAGATTGTTAGTGAATATTTTTAATAATGATTTTTCATTTTTCAATGTTGAACTTTATTACATTGTTTTGATAAACTTGATGGTTAAATCAACTGTTCCGTTTCTCTCTTATTTGTTTATAGGCTGTACAACATTATCTTTTGGCTTCAGATATTAATAATAGTAATAATAACGTTGGTTTACCGGATTATATAAGTGCTACTGCCACAGTAGCTTCTAATATCATTTCTAATCACAACGACAGCACATTGAGTGACGATGAGAGTCAAGCTGATGGAAATACATTATCGAATCTGGTAACATGTTCTGATTCAGCTGCCAGTATCTCTAATACTGATGTTGCTACCACTATTACTACTACTATTAGTAATAATAATAGCAATAGTACTCCCACTGGTTTAAGTAGTACAACTAATACTAATAACACTTATTCATCCAGTATAAGTCTTTCAAATTATGGCGCTTCAATACCTGGGAATCGTGAACCAGTCTATGTTTCATATGTTCGATATATGGCTAAATTTATGCCCGCCAATTGGCTTGTGCGAAGTGCACAAGCATTAAAATTAAATGTTAATCAAATTAATTGTGATACAAATGTGATATGGCTTAATGCGTTAATTGGTCGTTTGCTATGGGATTTTCTTCGTGAACCTTATTGGTTAGAAAAGATAAAAAATAAGATTCAAGCAAAGTTGAAAAAAATACATGTAAGTAGTGTGGATTTGTATTTTGACATTTTCTTATTATTTCAATTGCCTATATTTTTACCTCCAACATAATTGATGCAGTTGTAAGTGATCACAAATTAACATTGATAGATTATTACTAGTGCTCTGTGAACATGGAATCATCGAAGTTCTTCTTCCATAAGATTTAATTTAATATGTTATGCCCCGATAAGAATAATGAGTGTTAATTTTTGGGATCTATTTGTGGACCAATACTATACGTATAATTTTATCGTATAACTGTTAATTAACTAAACTATTCATATTCATGTCTCTCTTATCATAAGCTTTATTTTAACCAACGAACTGTTATTATACGATTCAACATTCTTGAATTATTCCCTGTTTATTAATCACTACCTCCCATGTCCACAGCCACATTTGGCCAAGTTTTGTACAAATGTTATTTTTTATTTTATGGTACGTTGTAGTCTGCTTGTTTTGTGTATAAATCAAGCATGTTTGAAATACATGATTCATATTGCAGAGGCTCGGATTGGTGTTCTGGACTTAACTGGCTGGGCTAGGCAGGAAGCGAGACCAATCAGGACTCTAAGCTGCTCGTACGGGTTTTACTCGTCATTGATTCGATCGATATTTCACTGCTTTCTAATCGGCGGTCACAAGTTATAACATAATAGTAAGAAGAAAATTAATTGGTAACGTTTATCGATAGTTGTCCTCCATGAAATTGTTGTTAGAAGTCCTAATTTGTATTTTGTCTTTTGTAACAAAAAGTATGATCTCTAACTGGAAAGCCTTGGTATCTTAGACTCGTCTCTAAGAGCAATAGACGTCAGTGTTGACTGTAAGAAATCATTAAGTAATACGATATAGAAAGAAACAGTGTATTCTAACATTTTCCATTTTGTATATGCAAATATTGTCATGTTAGTTTTACGTGCTCCTAGGCGTAGGATAACTTGGTTAGTGATATATCGGAATAGTATATCTCTTTTCTCTTCCCTCAGTTAGGATATCTAATGTGACTTGAACCTCTTTATTATTACCGTGTTAAAAACCGATCAATGTTAGACCACCATTGAAAACCTGAAAGTATTGGACGATCGTTTCATCCTAGTGTGGAACAAGAATATTTTGGCATTCTATTCTAGGACGAAACGGCCGTCTAGTGCTTTCAGGTTTTCAATGGTGGTCTAACATTGATCGGTTCATGATTTTAATGAAAATTGACGACCCCCACAACCCGCTACTAACAAAGATATATTTCATCGAATTGTTATGCAGAATAATGTTAGTGGTTAAGAAATTTATATATAGGAATTTTAAATGTTAACAAATAGTTTTTAAAATCATTCTATTTTTTGTCTTATCTATGTCCAAAAATATCATAGCTTCCAAATTTCATCAATGAACTCACTGTCGTTGATATTGATTTGGGCTCAGAAATACCTGTACTAAGACGTATCGGATGTCCTTATCTGGATGCACATGGTCTATGGATTGAATTGGATGTTGGTTATGCTGGCGGGTTCTCGTTTGCTTTGGAAACAAGTGTAAGTAAATTAAAAGGAAGAAAGCAACTTCGGGAGTATTACTTTTTAAAATTACATTTTTCAATCAATGTAAAATGTTTGAAATCTCATACTCCACACCAATTTACCTGTGCATCCGTTCAACATACGAGTTATCTCATTTGACACAAACTCCCCTCATTCTGTTTCATGTATAATTCTTCTCCTAAGGAATTCTTACGAACATCTTGACGTGTTGCTTTTAAAAAATTGACATAATGAAAGCCGATGTTAAGCTGTTTAATGTGGTTCGTCAATCAAAAGTACTTGTAAGTACTTGTAAAACTTATGCCAAACTATTGGCGTACAAAAGCTCCAGAAACTAATGTACAAATTCACTATGGTCACTGACTACACGTGGCGTTTCACTTTTTTATGTATTAGATTTTTAATTCACTATGTCGGATTCCAAAACAAAAGCATTTGGTTGAGCTTATGCGAGCGGATATTATCACACAGATGCTAGGCCTAACTACTGACCATAAGATTAGTTTGTTTGGATTAAATTTAGCTATTTCTTAGACCATTTAACGTAACAGTCGTTTTTGTTATTAATTTTTATCGGAAATTTAATTTCTGGCGCTATCCTGTACTACATACTGTTCCAGAGTGTTCGGAACTGACTTATAGAAAAGGAATATGAACTGCAATTATTATTATTCTATTTTGTTTCATTAACGTATGTTTCGAGTAATCTGTATTAGATATTCGGGACTCGTACTCTGTTTTGATTATTTTCTGTCCGGATTTTGATGATTCTTGGTTCTTAGAAAGTCATTAGTTTCTTAATTCGGTATTCAGAGATTACCTAACTAAGCATGTATAGATTGACTTATTAGTCACTTTTTGAGGTTAATTTCATTATGATTCAATGGTCAGTTTGCATAAAATATTATTTAGTAATTTATCCTAATAAAGTAATTATTTCTTAGGCAGTATTTATCACGGATCAGTCTTAGTATTATTATCAAGTGACCCAATAAGAGCAGAGGATAAACATCCATCATCCTCTATTGCTAAACATATAATTGAAACAGGCCATAAGATTGATCTAAACTCGGCTTTTGTGGTATTATATAAAAGTGTAATTGGGCGTATACTAAGATTTATTGAAGCCTTAGCCATACGAAAATTCAACCCCCCTTTGTGTATTCAAAAACAGTTTGTTCTTACCTTAAACCTACCTTGGTAATATTGACTTATTACCCAGAGTGACTAGGTTTTGAATTGTGTTCGCATTATTATTACTCTTATTATTATCCTTATCTCCTCTTATCCCATTTCCAGTCTAGTTGACCTTTTATTTTTATATATAAATGCTGTCAACAGGTATATGTGTGATTAGATTGTTCGAAATGTATTGCGCTAATATATCACATAATTCTGATAATCTTCGTCTTCTTATTACGTTATCGAAAGATTAAATGATCGTTGCTTGATGTAGCAAACTGCACTTAAAGAGAAATGTTTTATTGAATGTCTACAAAATTGTTTAATTGTTTGCCGCTTGTTACGAGTTCTTAAATTGAATGAACACTGCTGATGAGTTCCACATCAGGTTCAGTCCCATTGTTGCATATTTGGACTTTTCAAGGTTTATCGTGCCAGGTATTTGCACTAAACTACCGTGTAACTCCTTTGATCAGTACATATAAATCATGCAGTTTACCTCTGACTAATCTTGGAGAATTGTAAGCCGTTGGATACACGTAACTCAGGATCATTTTTAAATCCACTTTTCATAAATCACTCGCCTTTTCAAGATAATATATTCCTTAGCTTTAGCCACATATTTGTTAGGAAAATTTGAGGATTTTAGAATTTAAAACAGTTAGTCGCTTTGATAAATTTCGATAATGCAATGAGAAGATGAAGTTTATCAGAATTATGTGATATATTAGCGCAATACATTTCGAACAATCTGATCACACATATACTTGTTAAGAGCATTTATATATAAAAAATAAAAGGTCAACTAGACAGGTTAAGGGTAAGTCATAACAAAGGAAAAAATATTAAAGTACACAAAACAAATGTGATTACCACTCTGGATAATAAATCAGTATTACCAGGGTAGGTACAAATTGTTTTTGAACACATAAAGGGGGTTTTAGTTTCCGTATAGCCAAGGCTTCAATAAACCTTAGTATACGTCCTTGAAGGCTTTTGTATAACACTACAAATGCTGATTTGATGTCGACCTTATGACCCGTCTCAATCAAATGTTTCTCAATGGAGGATGATGTCTGTCTATCCTGTGATCTTATTTGACCATTGGAATCCATTTGTTTTTGCAACCATTTTGGTATGTGTTCACCCACCCTTTTGTGTACTTTAATATTTTTTCCTTTGTTATGACTTACCCTTAACCTGTCTAGTTGACCTTTTATTTTTTATGTATATGTGTGATCAGATTGTTCGAAATGTATTGCGCTAATATGTCACATAATTCTGATAAACTTCATCTTCTCATTGCATTATTTCTTCTTTTGAGTCCCAGAATTTATGATTACTGTGCACTAGATTTTACAATTTAAATAACCCAGTGTCATTGAATATGAAAAAGAGAATTCAGCTAAGAAAATTTTTTTTCGACGAAATCATTTATTTAAGCTGTACGTTCGTATTGTATTCGAGGAAAACAACAAATGGGGTTATGTACACTAATCAAGGGGTAAGGAAGAAAATCGTTTATAGGTCAGATAATAGTCCAATTACTAGAATGGGTTTTGTGGAGAATTGGTAATTTCATTAGTTTTCCATGGTGGTCTAGCTTCAATTGATTCATGATTTCAACTATTGAAATAGTCCAATTGACAAATATGAAGAAAGGCGACAAACACAAAGGTCATAATAATAATAGCTGATTAGAGTTGAAAATGCAAAATAGTAATTTTAAGAAATTCGATAATAATCAAATAAAAGTGCAGAAAAAACAGAAACATACCCATTAAGGGAATTAGGGCCAAGGAAGGATGAGAGGTTGTAAAAATCGTTTCTGCACGCAAAGTTCGGGCTTGAGTTCGTGAATTGCCAGTGCGATCGCTGTCCAAACGCATCTCAGAACACTATCTGGCTTGGCTTTTAAAAGGAGAATGTAAGACAATCACTAGTTCCATACAAGAGCATTTAATCAATTTAGGACACACCGCGCTCCCAAGTATTCTTCCATTAAAGTGATCTACAGAGTCAAAGAATTGGATCGAAGGGGTGTCAAATCAATATATTATGCACTGCTGAGGCAATTTTTTCTATCCTCCAATAGACATAAATTTTCCATATAACTAGATTTTATGTTGAGAAAACCATTTTTCATTTAAGAATTTAAGGCTTTGAGACACACCTTTATTGTATGTAAATAATGTTGGTCCTACAGAGCTCCAAGCTAAAGTAGGTGGAAGGTTGTTCGAACAAGGAATTCAGTGTTTAGAGGTCGAATGCTTTAAACACAGCCATTATAACCAAAATAATTTTTTTTTCAACTTAGGGTACATATAAAAATGTGTATATTTACTCACTGAGAGATATGTGTGAGTTTTATTTATTTCGCATCGATTTATGAGGTTGATCAGTATTTCAACCCATTTTATATATTGATTGGTTTTTTTAATTACCAAGTAGCATCGATCTCTTCATTAAAACCAACGTAACAGTAAATCAATAATCCATTAGTAAACAATGTTAACATGGGGTCTACATTCACAACGTATTGATAGTAGGCTAATATATATATATATATATATATATATATATATATATATATATACCGTGTTGTATCTTGAGTTAATAACAATTTCCTGTTAATTTTCTCAACAAACAGATTGTTTCATTCTCTTCATCTCTTTGAACATTAATGACAGCTATATAAATGAGAGTAGGAGAAACAAAATATCTAGATTTGTATGCATGAGAATTTAATGTGTTAGTAGGATATTTTATTTCTTACTGTTCTCTCGGCTATTTCCAAGTCGTTATTTTGTGTCTTCACCTACAATTGTGAGTGTTTTCAAAAATAATATAATTTGTAAAAGCTATTGTGTCATGTAAACTGTGAGTTTTTAACGTCCTAAATATGGTTCTTGTTCCTACCCTACTAATTATTATTATTATTATTATTATTTATGTATGTTTGCACTTGATACTTTGATAAGCATAGAATATTAGAATAATATTAAGAAAAAATTCCGTACCTGAACTTATTTTGTATCCTTTTGTCATTACTTAATAACTATTTGTTAACTTATTCCCTAACTATGTATTGCGTTCAATATTTATGATGTAGGTTTTTTTTGTTAATCAATTGAACGTAGCATCTAATTTTAGCTAGTTCCACACCCATTGATTGATATTAATCACCACTGAAATGATCTTTCACTAAATTGGTCATTGTGCGATATAGTGGAATTTCGTTGGTTGTAGTGTTTTTCGATTCTAGTTATTAACTTCCTTCAAGTTGATGAACCCTATCTCACAGAGATGAACACATACTTCTTTAAAATCTCCATTCTACTTTTCAAACCACAAAATAAACCCATCACTTGACTAAAGGCTTAGTATAGAAGCTCAGCCACCAAGTATTTGTATGATAACAGGCTAAACGTGATTATTTCTCTTTTAAGGATTAAATTTATAAATTTAAATCGCTTTGCATCTATTTCGATGTATACAACTGGATAATATCATTAGCAATCACAGCTGTAGTATACTTGAAAGGTGAGGACATTAACATGTACTTTGTAAACAAGCTACATTGACATTTGTTTCTAAATTAACTAGGATTACTGACTGATGAATTAGAGCGCTTAATATAAATAAAGCAGGGACATGAACCTAACTTTTGACAATGAAGTGTTTAGGTTACTCATCCACAGTTTTAAATGAATCTTATTACTTAATGTGTAATTAAGTATCATCTATTTATCAAAGCTAACTCACTTCGAACTAATATTTATTTATTTTTAATATTCAGTGTTGGATGCTTTGATAATACAGTACATATTTCTTGGTTTGTTTAATATTTTTATATAGGTTAATTTAATGCGGTGGAATCAAAAACTTCGTGAAGAAAAAGATATTACCTATTCATCAGGTTCGATCGTTTATTTATTTTTTCTAAATGAGATTTGCTCGATTTTTCAATAAAAGTTACGTGTTTTATAAGTGAAATTTCGTAGCATAGCATTAAGCCTTGTGGTATATTACTATGACCGCTTGTCTTAAGCGTGGTTGGTACTACTGTCCATAAAAATGTTACACTTTGTAATTTACGTTGAGGACGACATGATTATCGTAACCAATCGTTTGATATTTCAGGTGAAATGACTCAGAATCAGTCTGAACGGCTCAGGTGCGTTCACTCTTTTTCATCCCTTAAGTCCTGAGTTTCAAAATTTTCTTATATTCTTCAATCACATGAACTAATTCTTTCCCAAATCATACCGTTTGTAGCTATCTTTTTTCTGCTATTCATATTGTTATTAATTCTACTTGTCTGGGATTTATCCTGATTATTTCAAATTGTTGTGTTAATTTAGTGTTATTTATTTATTTTAACACATAGGTATTGGTACAAGGAGGCACCAAGTACATATGCGCCACACAAATCTCAATTGATTTGTGTGAGGGCTGTGATACTGCTCGGGTGCCCAAACCGAAACAGGTGGTTTTCTTAGGGGGCCACACCCCGAGCTTTTGACCTGAACGTCTGATCCACAAAGCAGTGGAGCATCGTAAGGAGATGCAGTCCCATAGAAGCCGGTGACCAAGAAATTGGTTCATACGCCATTTGTTCCCTCAGAATACTGGAGCCCATGTGCACCATTGGTTTGGGATCCGGTTAAAGCGCCGGACATTCGCTTTTCGTCCTCTCATTTTCGTAAGCAACACCCCCGCCACGTGAAGGTAGTGAGTAGGACTTCCCTGGTAGAGGCTATATACGCGTGGCCATGTGAGAGCATTTCGAGAGGGAGAGCGGACTCTCCTCACTCTCGGCTGTGGGAGCTAATTTAGTGTGACAACGTGAATCAATGTACACGCTTAACGGGTTCTACGTTTCATATGGCTCACTGACTTATTTGTATTGTATAGAATTTGATTTATTGACAAAGACTATAGATATAATAGCGCTGAGTGTTTTTGTGAAATACTCTGTAATTATTTGTTTTTATCAGTCTCCCCTATTTCTAATGATAAAGTTGCAAATATAAGGTACTTTTGTCTTTCAAATGAATTATTCTTTTGTTTGATTTTGTCATCGATGCCTTCCAAAAGCGTTCGGATTAATAATAATAATCTCCCTCTAAACATGTCAAAAAATGTAGCTGCATATATCAGTAACGGTGTACTTGCTATTGGTTCTATGTACTTTGCAATGAAAGTTCCACTTATTTAAGAAGTTAGTTGGAATTTATGGGTGCGCATCGTTTACAACTGGCAGCCACAGTTATTCTTTTTAAATCAATTAGGATTCCACTAAGCTGCTCATTATTAATAAAACTGCGCTTATATGTTAAAATTCAAACTTTTGCTTTTCATGGAGAACAAAATAGACTTGACGAATGAAACAGTAACAACACAGTTAAATTCTATTTATCTGCTTACCGACATAAAGAGTGCTCAATTGTGAATAACACTTGAGTATTCATTTCAATTAATATTCTATATATAAGTAAATATTTTTGAAAGTATTCTATCTTTCGGGGGGAGGGTGACGAGTCTATTAACATATAATGAAAATGTTTAGTGAGAGTCATAGTGGAGCGTCAATAACAATCAACAACTGAAATTATTACCATCCAAGATTATCAAAACGCAAGATCTTATACTATTCGGTTGTAGGTAGTCATGTATCTTTGTGATTTTCTTTAGAATCTTTTACATTAGTATTTTTTGTGTAAAAAGAAAAGATGACAATGCAATTAAATCAAACCCTTTACTTTTTTCATCCACTCTCTCCCAGATAATTTTGCTCAAAATTCACTATCCAATGAATCTCTGCCAAAAGTTAATTCTCGTTCGATAACAAAAATGGCCGCTTACCTATCTGATGAAGAGGACAGTGCTGATTCGACAACTGACTCTGAATTAGATGAAACAACTAACATTAGTCAAAATTCCAGTCCTATAAATAGTTTACGACCTGGACGTAACTTACCATCCACAGGACTAATCATAGGTGGAATGAAATCCGGTGATAATGAACGTGGAAACCCTGAAGACAGCAGGTAAAAGGTTGCTACAATTTATTATTAAAGAAATATTGGAAAAGTCTCTTCTAGTTAAAACAACAAAATCTTTTCATGTTTCTTAGCCGCTTGAAGGTGTTTCTTTTTATCGGATGTTATGAAGATTTTAGAATTTTGTAGTTACCATTACTAAGTGATCTTTTTTTGGCAACCACTGAAGAATACGAAGCACTAGACAACGGTTTCGTCCTGGTATGATTACCTCATTAGTGTTCATCCGCAACCCCACGGGGGATCGAACATAAGACCTTCAGATCTCATCGCAAAGACTATCTGTTGTGTTGGTTGGTTGATAGAATGGATTTTAAATTATATTTATTTTTATGCTGCGGTAAGAAAATGCTAAAGATATAAAAGTCTGTCACAACTGCTGAAATAACAATTTTTGTAGAGTTTTGAATCTCAGGACTAGTTGACTTCTCCCAGTGAGTGTTTAGTGAAATTTATTCCATAATTAGATCTTTAAAGTAACATCACTATTAAAGAACAAGTCTTTTTATGTTCATTTCTTACTAGGCAAGTTTCTACTCGGGGTTATCATTGAAAGCTCTAATAATGTCATACGTATGTCAGTAATTTCACTACCTACAGGCTTTGATTCTGCGTATCAGTAAACGTGATCCTTAATTTAAAATATGATTTACTATAATTCGACTTTCAGTACTTATCGAAAATTTTCAACTTTTACTGTTATTGCAGCAGATCTATTTGTTTTAATAAATTGGTCTATTAAAGCAATTGATAAACCCATTGTACATTCAATATTTAATATTTATTATCGTACCTGAAGCAAATTGAATGTTATGAACGTATTTGAATTTCTAAAGTTTACTAGTTTATATTCCTTTTTTCTTAATTATTAAGTCTTTCATGATCGAGTTTACCACTTTCAACCAGTAACATGCTACAACTTACTAAAACAAATCGCTTTCTTTATGTAACCAACAATAGACTTATTTTACTAGTAAAAGTCAAATCTTTAAGTAATTGAACAAAGTGTAAGGATAATCTTATTTATGTATATATTAACAGATTTTGTAGTTGATTTAACAAAACAAAAGATAAACAGTAAAGTAGAATTATTACCAGTGCTTGCTTCTCAATTAATATGGTGAAATGATAAATGGAATTGCAATTTAGAGGACGTTACAATCAATTTATCATGAAAATAATTATCTGTAGATTATTCTTTCTGATATCACCCTTGAAACTAACCTATGGAGTTAACTATTAAAACCGGTTTATTTACGTATGTTAATTCTTACTGAAGCTTCTAACCACACGATCAACAGATGCGTAAAATGTGGCAATCAAAAACGCAAAGTAATCTCGAATATGGTACCGTTATTATGAAAATATATGGCGGGCATGCATTACAAACCAGAATACGCGAGTTGTCTACAGCATCTACCGTATTCGTATAAATCAAATAAGGATGCTTCCTAAAATGGATATATAAAGGTTACTTACAACAACATAGGATAAACTATTTGATAACGGATAGCTGTGTAGAAACTACAAAGGTAGACATCAATCGAAAATGTGAATGAAGAGCGCTAGAATGAAAACTGTTACAACAAAATAAATGATCACGGAGTACACTAGGATCGGAAACAGGTGTTATGAATGTAAAGAATATGCAGTAACAGTAATAGATAAATTGAAGTTCACCAGTCCATGTGAATACTTGAAATGTTACACACTATGCACTCAAAAAATATTATAATTGAAACTGAATAATGAAGTTGTAGTATAAAATAATACACAAGAACAAAGCGAAGATAGAAAGTGCTAACCGATTCAGCAGCCTATTGCACTTATAAATTCACATAACTTCATTATATTACCTGGTCATCATTCGAAATTACATTGATAAAACACAGTGTAGAGTAGCTAGAGTTAAATAAAATTTTTTGTTTGGTGCTTGAAGTTTATCGGCATTAATCTTTTAAACTATAGTATCGTGATTGTTGACATTCAGATTTTTCTGTTTACTACAATTCTCTCCATTATTAGTACATTGTTTTATATGTAAAGATTTTTATTTATATTAAGAGTTATATTTAAAAAATATCATTTAAATCACTACAAATTTGTTCTGTGAGTAAACAGAATATTGACCATTTAAAATATACACATATTTAATCTTTTACAAATAGGAGTTTCATTGACTGAACGATCTATTGACTTTGCTGTTATATAGTGAATTTACATTAGATTCCGCGTTTAGTGGAGACTAAGTTTCAGATATTTTGATTACAAATAAAAAAGAACATATTGGATTTCTGTTTTACAGTTAGTGTTTTAGGAATTGAGTTATAAATATACACTTAAGTTGGTAAATGCATGCTTGTATTAATAATGAATACCCATTGTTTCATTTGGAACTATAAAAAGTGTAAATTTTTAATTTATTTACTTTCTCTATAGTTAATGTTTTTATTTGTTAGACCATTTCATCAATAGAGAGATAACAGTTTAACTTACTCTATTCTTGTTTAATTGATTCCGTATATATATGTATGATTATTGTCCAGATCATTTAATCGTCTTTCTCCAGTTTCACCAAACCGGTATGTATTAATCTCTAAATAAGCAACACTACATTAGTGATAATCTTATTATTTGTGAACTAACTCTCTTTCTCTACTCCAACGCAGACACATAACCACATCTTATTTGTTCACCAGTTTTGTTTGTATTTCTGCTCAACATTTAATTCTATCTTAAAGCATTCACACAAATTATGCATAACTTTTTAATTGCATCTTCGTTAACATATTATTGTGTTTTTGTTTACTTTAGTTGGGTGTGTGTCTAATCAAATAGGAACTGAAACGATTAATAGTACCACTTGAAGAATGAACATTATTTTCATAAAGACGAGTTACACATTCTTCCTCATGTAGGATGGTCTTTCTCTTTAGAATTCTTCAACATCTTTTTAAACTCTTAGTTTATTTGTCATACCCATTGTTATTTATTTAAGAAGAGTGTAAGTTTTGTCAATATTCAATAAGTTATCGCAAAACTTTTACTTTCATTGGTGATAAATTGATAATTAATACATATATTTGTTTTTTCTTATGATACCCTTCCTCGTCTCACAATATTCCGATTAAAAACATATTAATCATGTGAAATCCACGCTCACCTATCGAACTTATGAAACATTATCCTTTGTCTCCTAAAGCTTCCCGTTAGAGTGATGGTTCGAGGCTTCCAACGTACAAAACATATCTCAATTTGGATAACAGGCTTCACTAGTTGAACCTACATACATTACGTAAGCGTAACCATTCACTTGACTTTGGCTTACCGATGTAGTGAGTAAGCAAATTTCACCTCTCATCTAACTATAAACTTGTTAACGACCTCCTGATAAGTTTTTCATCATGCTTAGAAACAGAACAGGCACATCTGAGTTATATACCAGTGGATAGTCCTTTTTGCTCTGTTCGACTAAATTATACAGTACATGAACTTGCCGAATCTTCCTTACTTTACTACGTTTGTGTAATTAACTGTAAACTGAAATGGATGTGTCAGGTGTTGTTCACCAGGTCTGCCAGTTCTGCTAATCATTAGATTTGGTATATCAGGTCCTATATCTCATGCGTGACTTAAATGATTATATACAATGTAACTAGTGGGAAATAATTTGTTTAATTCCTGGATTACTATTTCATGATGAATTGTATCTTCTATTTTTACTCTTCCTCTGTGGGTATGCGCTTCTATTCTATGTAATCTGTTTATGTATTCAGCTTCAAAGCACATTGTTTGTGTAAGACCTCCAAAGAGTAGTCATTTGACTAAAAACTACGAAGTCATCATTTCACATCGTTATTTGTCACCAGTAGTTTGGCATAGATGATCGTTTCAGATTTCATTGCTAAACTAGTAATTTTACTTACCATTTATTATTATATAGATTCAACCAAGCTTAATTTGTTTGTCACTTGTCCATAGTTTGATCTTCAGTATTTTGTTTTTATCACATCTGTCTGATTGTTTTTACTTACGTCTGCTATAAAAAAAAATGTATTAATGTCAAGTTGGTTTATTTTAAATAAAGCAAGAACAAATATTGATGCAGAATAGTATGAATTCATAATATTTCGAGGTTTCTCATCAGCTGCTTGGTTTATTTTAACGACCGATATAAGGTGGTTAACCCAACATTTGATTATCTTTAAATTCACAAATACCACGTTTTATACTTTAATCACTTTATACATTCAGTTGAAATTTAGAAATTAAAATAAATGTTAGTAACGAAGCTTATTGAGTTTTGAGATTTTGTATTGATGAAAAAAAATAATTTGTATGTAGGTTACCTTGATTAGTCATTGTATCACACTGTTTTCCTCTTTCTTTCTCTCCTTCCCTTTATATCCATCTACCTAGATATGAAACGCTCACCAGTACATTTTTAGTTCATAAATATTTCAATTCGCTAGTCAGGTAGAGTTTTAAGTCATGCTTTATACTTAAAAGTTGCTTACTTCCTTATGCCTGTTACCCTTAATGGAGCATAGGCCTCCCATCAGCCCTCCCAAACCCACTCTGTCCTGGGCCTTCTTTTCTAGTTCCATCCAATTCTTGTTCATTTTTCTCATATCTATCTCCATTTCCCGGCGTAATGTATTCTTTGGTCTTCCTCTCCTCCTTCGACCTTGAGGATTCCATATGAGGGCTTGTCTTGTGACGCAGTTCGGTGTTTTCCTCAGTGTGTGTCCTATCCACTTCCATCACTTCTTCCTCCACTGTGATCTGATTTGTTCTCTCCCATAGTAGGTTGTTGCTAACAGTGTCCGGCCAACGGATCTGAAGTATTTTGCGTAGACAACTGTTAATAAACACCTGTATCTTTTGGACGATGGATTTCGTAGTTTTCCAGGTTTCCGCGCCATAGAGTAGAACTGTCTTGACATTTGTATTGAAAATTCTGACTTTGGTGTTGGTTGCTAATTGTTTTGAGTTCCAGATATTCTTCAGTTGTAGATATGCTGCTCTTGCTTTGCCAATCCGTGCCTTCACATCTGCATCAGATCCACCGTGTTCATCGATGATACTGCCCAAATATGTAAAGGTTTTTACATCTTCCAAAGCTTCTCCGTCAATTGTGATTGGATTGGTACATGTTGTGTTGTATCGAAGAATCTTGCTTTTCCCTTTGTGTATATTGAGACCTATTGCTGCTGCTACACTGGTTGTCTTCTCCTGCATTTGTTGTTGCGTTTGCGATAGAAGAGTCAGATCATCCGCGAAGTCTGGATCATCCAACTGCATCCCAGATGTCCACTGTATCCCGTACTTCCCTTCAGATGTTGACGTCTTCATGATCCAGTCGATCACCAGGAGAAAGAGAAAGGGTGAGAGTAAGCAACCTTGCCTGACACCGGTCTTTACTTCGAACGACTTTGTCAACTGTCCCCCATGCACGATTTTGCAGTTTAATCCATCATAGGAATTCCGTATGATATTGACTATTTTCTGAGGCACGCCGTAGTGTCGAAGAAGCTTCCATAGGGTTTTCCTGTCCACGCTATCAAATGCTTTGTCGTACTCAATGAAGTTGATGTAAAGTGATGAATTCCATTCAATTGATTGTTCCACAATGGTTCGTAGAGTTGCGATTTGGTCTGTGCACGATCTATCCTTACGGAATCATGACTGTTGGTCTCGAAGTTGGGCGTCTACGGAGTCCTTCATCCTGTCTAACAATACCCTGTTGACGACTTTTCCTGGTATTGAAAGAAGAGTGATTCCCCTGTAGGTATCACAGTTTCTGAGATCGCCTTTCTTTGGTATTTTGACCAGAAGTCCTTCTTTCCAGTCTTTTGGTACCTGTTCCTTATCCCAAATCTTTCTGAAGAGAGTTTGGAGTATCCTTGCAGTTACCGCTACGTCTGCTTTCAGTGCCTCTGCTGAAATGTTGTCTGGTCCTGCTGCTTTGCCACTCTTGATTTGTCTGATAGTCATGCTGATTTCTTCAATTGTTGGTGGGCCAACATCGATTGGGAGGTCCGTGAGTGCTGCTTCGATGTTGAGTGGGTTCAGTGGGGCTGGTCGATTCAAGAGTTCTTTGAAGTGTTCTACCCACCTGTTTCGTTGTTCTTCAATGTTGGTGATTACTTTGCCTTTCTTGCTTTTCACTGGTCGTTCTGGTTTACGGTGATTTCCAGAGAGTTTCTTTGTTGTGTCATACATTTGTCTCATGTTTCCTTCTCTTGCAGCCTTTTCCGCCGTCATCGCTAAATCTTCCACAAATTTACGTTTGTCAGTTCTGATGCTCCTCTTCACTTGCTTGTTTACTTCTGTGTATTCAGTTTGTGCCTTGGTTTTTTCTGCTTTTGTTCGGGGGTATTTATTGCTGTCTTCTTGTTCCTAACGCTAACTTAAAAGTTTATAAAACCTAAATGGGTAAAGTGAAGTTCGCAAACCTGCCGCTCAGAGTTTTGAATTTGAATAAATCAGTCACCTAACCATCTGGAGAATTTCAAATCTTGAGTAAACATTTGTTTGATCCTCCGTGATTTGTGGAGGTACGTCACTTGTTGCTAGTCCGTGATGAGAACCATTCTCAAGTGGCTTTTGATTATTTCTTGGTTACCGGAATCAGATAACATATTCACCTATTCATAATTTAGAGAGGACAACAAATTTCGCTCTTCATTTCTCTGACCAACTAGTATTTTAAATACCCATTTTGATTATTTTCTATAATTGTGCTAAAATTAAAACCGGCATTCCAAATTTGTGTATTTGACATTTATTAACAATTAACTTATGTCTTATTCTGAAATCCTGGTGATACAATAGGTTGAACATAATACATTTCATTTTACAGATTTCTTGATTTTAATGTTTCAATAATATTCCAGTCAGTAGTAGTATGGCTTTGATTGAAGCGATTTATTAATTTTTGTTGTTTTAAATAATTTTTATATTTCAGCCCAGTAAATCTACAGCCTGTCTTACCGTCTCGTCGAAGGATTATACGTATTGTCGATCGTATCACCAAATCCTCATATTTTCAAAGAGCCGTTGATACAAAACTAGTCCAGCGTGGTATGGAACGTTTGTCAAACACACCAATTGTATTACAAGTCGAGGTATGTATTTTTTCTCTCAACAAGATAGAGATAACGTAAACTATTTGAAGATTGATTTTAACATTCTCAGTTTTATTAATGTCACTCTATCAATTTATTAATTGTTGACTGATAAATATAGGATTACAAAAGATTGTGTAATTAATACCTAATCAAGTGACACACAAAAACAGAGAACCCTTAAGAATTCAATAATAACTACCAAAAAAGGTTATTAAAACTTATCTAGGCTTTATCACTGTATATCATCAGTCATTGATTTCTACGATGTGTAATAATTAAAGCTGAAAAGTCTACTATTTAGTTTCCGTACTCTTGGATAGATCAAGGATACTTTAGATATATGCTTTCGTATTTTTTAATCTTTACCATGAACTCCGTGTTTAATCTTAGGATCACTTAGTTTTTTCTGACACTTAAATTTTCACAGGTATTTGTGATATAATATCGGTAGTTTTTTATTGTTATTTTTTACAATGCCATGGGCTGTACCGTATATTTCATACTTAATTGTAGTACCATTATTTTTTGTTTGTTGTATTTACTCAGAGTTTAATACATAAGATCTCATCTGACTGAAGTGTTCGTCCTAATAACTGGTTTAACTTCATGTATATAGACTACCCCGAACATCTAGCCAGGAAACTAGGCACTATACATATGTACATATACTAACTGACTTGAAGTTTAACGTAACTTCATACTGATCACTTCAAACTTTCAATGGTCAGCTCAACTTACTCATATGTCATATATTTTAATGAGTCGGTTAGTTATAATTAGCGAACACAACAGAACAAACTACGTTATTAATTATTATCTGAGAAAACGTTATAATTAATTTTTTCATCATTTTACTCTCTTGTTTATACGGAAACGTTTATTATTTATAAAGTATTTAACATGTAATCCATCCATCTTATTTAACGAACTTATATGTTGTTGTCAGTCTATTTTCTTATGAGATATTTACCAATGTTCTCTCTAGTTAAGAGCGTAACATACACTGTATTTATCATCTGGATATCACTCGGAGCATTTCGAATCTTTTATAAGCTTTCAGTCGTTATTCTACTTACAGAAGTAGTGTAGGAATTGACATGATTGTTTGTCGATCTATGTAACTACATTTCAAGGGCAATAGTTATTTAAGAATTTCAACATCTTATCGACGTTCATCTGTCTATTAAACATGGACACATGATCGAAAACTTTAACATCGTTTTAAATTCGACAAGAAACAAAAGTACGAGCTGGTCATTTTTTAAAATTTGACTTCGAATTTGCATAAAATTCAAGTGAATACTCATATTTGTGTCTTAAATGTACACCTAAGAAACAATGATATCTTTGTGACGAAATAACCTAAAATCTTGAAATTTGAATTGTTTTACAGTAGTAAAGATTCTCTTCATACTAAACAAGATCTACGCGAACTAGATAGATCGGTGACTAATTGTTATAACTTGAGGTATTACTTTGTCTGATGTTGTAACGCTTGAACGATTATCTACACTAGATCCCTCCCAGTGTCTGTTCTACAGGACTTCAACACAACTCAGATCAAGAACACGCAATCAACCTGACCAGAACGTAATATATTTTCACACCCAAAACCGACACAATCCACAACAATGAACAATCAATAATAATAGGATGTATATTCGAGTGTGTCCCAGTAATAAGGATAAGGGAATATATAACTTATCTGACACCTGTCAGATTGTCTACATGTCTGACTAAGCAGACAACCAATCATAATCGTTCTCGCCCACACATCACTAATATATATATCATGGGACTAAAAATTCGGAAATAGTATCTGCTCAAAATTTAAAATAATGTGGACGAAAGATTAATAACACTAGAGCGTAGAATCGCAATAAATAGTAGGTAATCAGAATTGTAACAGTAGTGATTCCAGTCATCCATAGCCATTTGACCTGATGCGTTACTCGATTGTGACAGCAAACAGACTCCAACTATATCGAGGACCATAACTGGGCAAATTTGTGACTTGGCATAAACCAGATAATCACTTTTCAATCTCATCTTAAATAATGTAATCTACTATGCTTATTTACATTATATCTTGTCGTGTACTTTACTACGTTAATCCTCTTTCCAATTTCTTGTTGTACAAATTTCGTGTGTTTATTTATATTGATCACAATATGCCACAGGTATTTTCATGTTCATTTGATTTTAAATGTAATCAGATAAAAACTAAATTCTCCAATATGGTTCTGCTTCATTGTTTTTTTTTTTGGTTTGTCAATACCTAGATACAAATGTTAAGTGGTACGCTTTTAGTCAATATCCCTCCACCGCCCAGTGACCGTCTGTGGTATGGTTTTCGTCCTGTACCTAATATACGACTTAAAGCACGTCCTCGTGTTGGAGAAAAAGTTGTTACAATGTCACGTATATTGGAATGGATTGAAAAAAAAATGATTCTTGAATTTCAGGTGATAAACTTAATTTGGGCGTATTTTTTGTCCAGAGGTCATTGTTTATCTCCTAGTATCAGATTATGTTCATTCCTTGTTATTTACGACCGAATATTTTATTCATTTATCCTATCCTGATCGGTAAACATCAAAACAATTATGTTGAATGTAGAGTCTCTGTTTAGCGGTGGAGTGTTAAACAACACAGTATAGTAAATTGTTCGCATCTACTGTTTCATGTTAGTTTCGAATGTAGGTTTTTTGAACAATATTTTGTGATATCGGCTTCTGAATATTCGTGGTAGAACTCCCTTATCCATCTCTTAGCAGCTTTTTTTCAACGTGTTGACGAAACACTCAGCTCACTCGTTTGAATGCTTCCTGTTATGATTTGATGTCCGGCTTACGATCACGTGACTTATACACCAATCAGAATACGGCTTATACGAATATTCGCACTATGACAAGACCAATGACGTTCAACCGGTGTGAGCAGTCTAGCGTCCTATTGGGTCCTACGTCCTTCTAACCCGTCCTCTCGAGTCCAGAACACAATACCAGCTTCTGAATCAACCAAATCGAACCAAATCATTTATTTCAGACATACTCGGTTTATATATCAATCAGGCAGACCACAACGTACCATAAAATAGAAACTAACATGTGTACACAAATAGGCCAAAAAGTGGCTGTGAATGTGGGAGACAGTAATTAATAAACTGAGCATAATTTAGGTACAGTAAATCGTACAATGATAAATTATAGGTCAAAGTGAAGCTTATGATAAGGGGAATATAAATATACATAATCTAACTATTAAATAATTACACCGTAAGAATATATAGATAATATTAGTCAATTAATGTCTCAGAAGTTACTCGTGATTTAATCTTCGTTCGGATATAACACTTCCCCCCCCCCAAGTGTATGGTTTTAGGCGTTCGTGAATGAGTAGTCGGCTAATTTTATTGTGTTGGGATAAGCATACATGAAACTTCGAGTAGACATGGTTTAGAACAAATTAGTACGTCCCACTAATTGATTCTGTGAAGCATAAGTCGACGACGTAGGACCCGGTACAAATCTTAAGGATTCAGTTTTAGTCTCAGTCAGTTTCTATCAACTATTAACTCATGATTTTATTTATTTAAACATAAACATTGGTACAAAGAGGCACCATAATATATATGCACTAGACAAAGAAGTTATTGAATTTGAGTGTGGACTCCGATGCTGCTGAGGCAGGCGGCTTTCTTATGAAGCCACTCCGAGCGTTTAATTCAGAGGTCCAATTCATATAACAATGGAACAACGATAAGAGATGCAGTTCAACTTTAGGCTCATACGCTTTTTGCTCCCTCGGGATTCCTGGATCCCTTGTGCATCATTGGTTCGGAATTCAGGGTTTTCCAACTCCCCTAGGTGGATGTTCGTATCCACCAACCCGATTCTACATTCGCTTTTCTTGCTCTTGATTTCGAAAAAGAACACCCCTGCTTTCAAAAAGCAATGGCCATATGAGAGAATCCTGTGAGGTAGAGCAGAGGAAGGGTCACAGGAAGTAACGAGATTTTGTATATAAAATGTTCATTTTTATAATTGTTACAGAAAACGTCTATTATGCATTGAATTCAGGTACGTTAGTTATACCGCTAAATATATCCTAAACTTGATAGAAATATTGGCAATAAATATTTGTAATTACTTAAATATAAAAAATTACTGGAAAACTCAAATAAGAACTTTCATTTATTCAAGTATGATTGTTGACTACATATTCACACTCCATCTATCTTTTTTGTTGCCTAATAGCATTTAGTTGTTTTACCAAATATGGATGATTTGAAAGTTGGGCTACTTTTATCCGATGCTACATCAGCAACATAAATAATCAATGATATAAAAACGGCTGAAGGATTAACTTTAATGCTCCCTAATCACCATTACAAAGGGCTTCGATGAAAACTGATGTGATCTTATTATTATTATCATCATTCCTTCTCTTTTGCATACGTTGTCAGTATATTGTATTTTATACAATTGTATTCATGCTATCTTATATATTTTAGCTTATTAAATTCAAATGAATCTAAACGTGATTTCTTTTTGTCATATTTTCTATCCTCTCCTTTTTTCGTAAATGTTCACATTTATTTCTCGGAGTGAATATGAAATGAAGAATACATAATCAATAATCTCTATTGGGAACAATTTAGTGTTGTCTCTTTTTGATGATATCTTGGGCAACTCTAACTGTAATCAGCAGTTTATTTCCGTTTTATACAATTTTTGCGTTGTATCGAAAACTATGATGGATGAAGACTGGATATTATATATATTCAAATTGTTGAATATTCATCTTACACGGAGTGTATGGACAGTTTTATTAAGTGGATTTATTACCTACAATATATTGAAAATCGGAACAACCTTTCACTTCATCTGTGGTTAGCGATTCTATTACTATTCTTTTGTTTCTATTTACCCGACTTTTTTCTATTGGGTGCCTTGAAGAAATAGACCTGACCTTTGTTCTCAGTATGTACTGTTGCCATCTTCCTGGGTACTTTTGCTACTGTAAAACACGACAATAGGCGAGAAGTTACAAAGTATTTACATAATACATATATATAACCTTCAATGGTCTATTTGTATCTACCGATGTGTTCTGCAATTTGAACTGTCTTCTCGGCTGGCCTCAGTGTTCTGCCAACACCGTGCTTTCGATGCACTGAAACTCTGTTCGACAATCGTTACAACTTCGACACCACGTCCCGATAAACACTACTAACAAACATCCTTGTGAGTAGCGTCCACTACACTACAATCAATCTGTATAAATTAGAAGCATCAGGACATGAGCAAAAATTGTAATTATTATTTGAACGGTCGGATTATTCAATGTCGTATCAACATCGGTGATGTTTCGATATATGTCAGTTATGTTTCTGTAATGTGTTTAGCAGTGAAATCCAGGACGCTCATCTCAACTTGTTAGGGACTCTTCACTCGGAACTACCCGTTTAATGTGTTGGTGAACATCAACACCAGCATATAGGTGCATCCAACGAATGGGCCTTAGGATAAAACGTCCGTCTTGAATTTCACTGTTAGTCATAATTCAAAATATTGTAATGTTATTCGGTAGTACAACTCAAGGAAATTATCACAGCTTTTCTAGTGGGCTTGCACCTCAGACACTTTACACGTTTACCTTTCACTAGACATCATTAAACCATTAATTTGTTGCTACTTTATTTATCCCGGCTAACCTCAATTTCCACAAACAGTTCCGGTTGTTTAAATGATTTCATCTTGATTTGTTGCCGTTGTCACTTCACAACAGCACCCCCGTGGTGTAATCAATAAACGATCGACATCACTGTTCATTGTCAGACCTTTCAAGTACTAACGCAGGCACCGCCCTTTCTACAACCGATAGTAACACTAGCGCCACACATACCGCAACCCAGTACATTTTCCATTATTATTCGTTGTTAAGCCTTGTCAATCAACACTCAAACATGCAATTCCTCTCATCTGTTTCAGTAACCTAACTACTGAGTTTTTGAAGGTCTATATCTTATCACTTTACACTAGATTTAAGGATATTTATACACATACGCAAACTGATTTTTATATTTTTATGAAGGCAACAGTGTCCAGTATTCTTAAGATAACTGACCTCGCTTCTAAACCAAAGACTATGATTCTTGTTATAAATAAACCATGTGAAGGGAGAATATTCTAGACGCTTAGTACAGATTGTACGAAGTTATGGATAAGAAAGTCCAAAGTACATTGTTTATCAACAATCTCTTGAAGTGCGTTTGTATTTTTCTGTGTCGTCATATTTTACCACCAAACAACAGTAAACCTAATAATAATAAATTTTGTTGGTTGGATCACTCGAAGGTAGTTGCTTTTCATTTCATAGACATCTAACACATATTTGTAGGGACTTCTGAAAAGTCACACACCAACGTACATCTAGATTGTATATTACTTCAGACTAATTGTTTGTAATATATAACGAAACTTAAAATACGTTGACCACGCTTAAAATCGATATCATTGTGTAAAAATTTAGTTGTATTCTGGTGAAGCACACTCAGCTTTGAAGAAATTGGTTTCGAACGAACCAGGTCGCAGTAGCATTAGATTACTTTATTTAAAAAGTTATGGAATAATTGGACGATGAAAGACACGTATTTACACGGCGTAAGGTAATACTGTTGATCTTAGATATTACAAGTACGGAAAACATTATAGCCATTTAATGCTGTTGTAAATACTAGTCCTGGTATTTGCGGATGCCAGTGTGCTTCCTTTAACTCGGTTTGGCCACCATGAACAAATAACATTTGAACTGGGATGCCTAAATCTTCTTCATCTGCCTCATGATTTAAACTTGATTCGTTTGACTGTTTTAATTCTTGTTCAGATTGTTCCAAGCTAATGTCCCAGAATGTAGCTTGATCGTCTTCACATGTAGCTACAAACACTCCAGCGTCGTTTGGATGCCATTCTACTGATGTGATTGGTTTCTTGTGGTACTACAAGATAAACCAAAATACATCTTAATATAATAATGACAACAACGGTTGACACTGAGATTTTACAACAAAATAATTTAGTAGATATCCAAAGTAAACTTAACATGATGGTAGCTAATCGGAATCCGTGTAAGAGAAATAAAACCATGACTTTCCATGAGTGGATTAATACTATTTAGACAGAATGTACAGTCTACTAGTGGAGAATGGAAAATCTAAACTATGCTAGCCCCAGTAATTAAGTTGACAATAAATAACGTTGCCACATATATAATTCAAATTGTGTTTTCAGTTATTGATTTGGGTACTCGAATTCTAATCAAATTATGTAACAATGTATGTCACTGAAAAACGTACCAGATAAGTACATTATCCTTGTGAAAGCCCTCTACTCAAATATCATTCGAGTCAGAACTCATGGTAAACTGTCAAAGTCACGTGTCCAGGATTATTCACTATCCGTCTTCTTACTTAATTTCGTCGATTTCCTCCTCTAGATTTCCCGGAATTGACGGAGTGAGAAAACTTGAGTCTACGCGTAGGGTACTAAGCAAAAGTATTACATCATTTGACGAGTTTGTAAATTTCCATCAAATGAGATGGGTCTAGAGTTTCTGGCTCATAAATGAATCAACCAATAATATTTACGTTAGACGCTTACCACTTAAACTCAATTCGGTCTAGAGACGGTTATGTTCTGTTTAATTGTCAATCACGAAACTTTGCTATTTTTTATAAACAAAAATGATTTTTCCACTGATTTTATTCGCTGAATTCCTTACTATCGTTTGAAACAGGTAATGCTTAACTATACAGTTTACCTGTTTCCAATATACCTACACCAAGACTGTTTCACGGTTATAGGACTAACTCAAGAAATCTACCTACACGCCACAAAAGTCATTGACTGTTAGATTAAGTCACGTTAGTATATACAGATTTGAGTCGGGGTTGCGCGGTCAGTGGTTGAGGATGTTGGGTCAAACAGCTCAAAATCATTCAGGACGAACTACATTTATTCACTCCTTATTTTTCCCTAAATCCTGGGTTTCAGTACTTTTTCATGCGCGCCTTTTTACTTCTTCTTCTCAAACCATATTCTCAACTTTATTGTAACTAAAATTCTTCCAACTTTTTTGCCATTCATCTTGTTACTCTTATCTTGTTGTGCTTGCGTGGTGTAGAGAGTTAGGCTAACTTGCGATTCACTCTGGTTCTACGTTGATTAGGTTTGAGTGCAGCGAGTTTACAGTTCTATCATTAGATGGTGGTAGTCTACAGGAAACCCTGGACCCGGGTTTCGTGCTACTTGGCACTCTTCAGCAAGGTGTACCTGTAATCTTTGAGGGAACTGGTGCTCCCTGGCGGATTCGATCCCGTGTCACCCAGCTTCACAGTCAGAGATCGAATGCTATCGACAATAATAATAATAAGGACTAGACACGCATGACATTGGTCACCACCCAGTGATCAATCAATTGTGATTACAGTTCTAGCGTGTGACTTTATAACCTGATAGTATAATTATCCCTCCCAAAGTAACTGTGATTTATAGTATAATTCATGTACGTGGCATAAATTAAATCAATTCGTTTGACTGGAATGGTTTACATTGTGTCTCAAAAGAAGTTATTTGGAGTCAGTTAAAAAGGCTCGATTCCAACCGACGATGTCAGCAGTAAGAAACTAACATGAGGAACTTTATACGTTGACTACCTTGTATTTGTCACTAAAGAGCAAGTTATACCTACAAATACCTAAGTGATAACTCTCTAGAAAATAATCACTTGGACTCATTACTAATATTATTAAAAACCCGGCTATATGCCAGAATTTACCTATCGCTTTACCGTTTAATCTTTTATAAGTGACTATTAGATTATTTTTAACGATTCGCAAGTCAGAATGTTAGTCCTCTAATATCAACAAACTATCTTAAAAATACAACATTCTGTTTACCACACCGAAAATTCAATACAAGTTAAATGAGATGACAAAATTATTTAACTTACTGATTGAGACTATAACAGCTTATATCCAACATATATGTGACTAGTTACCATAAAATAAAAGTTTATAATTGTGATACTTACATCAAATAAGTGCGTATAAGCAGGTACAGATCCATTGTTTGACTTTTTGCCACTGTAACAACTGTGAACTAATCGTAAATCCCATATTCTTAAAGTCCCATCATCTCCCCCCGTTAGCAAATTAAGAGCTTGCAACTTATTCCAAGAAGCAACATTTATATCAGCTGGATGGGCTTCTGCAACTGTAAGCATGCTTCCACTCGATATTGGTGCGCGAACATCCCAAACACGTATACTA